GCGCAAGGCAGAAAGGCAGAGCCCAGCACTTGGAGCTGCGGTTGCTGTGGGGTGATTGCTGAGCACAGCCCTGAGCGAGCATCTCTGGTCCCACAGCTGAGCGCTGCCACGACATGGCTGCTGGGGTCCCCATGTCCAAGCATCTTCCGTGCGGTCACTTCCCCGCTCACCTCCTGACTTTGGTTGCAGTAGCATCTAAAAATCTGAGCAAAGACCATCAGGGAGCATCCATAGCACTGCCCAGGCAGCGTTAGTATGGGCAGGTGCTTTGCCTGACCCCATTTCTGCAGGGGACCTGGTGAGAGGAGGTTTGGCTGAGGTGCTCTCGCTGCTCTCCCCGCCCTGTTGGGAAGGGGCTGTGCGTCAGCCTCCCGAGACATCTGCTGATGAGTTTCTCATTATGCAATGGCCTTGCCTCCACAGGCAGCCATATGGCCCCACGTTCTCCAGCGGGGCTGACACAGCACCGCCTTCCTAGGTCCAGACTTTGAATTTTGGGGACGTTTTCTATGAGCAGATTTTTGGCACTTTCTTAAATATGCTCCTGACCTGTGCTGAAATATTGGGTTATATAAATCCTCCAGGAGATTTTTGGAGATATCGTTCTCCCAGCTGGACAGTTCATCATGGCAAAAATCATAAGACTTCCCTCCACCAACACATGGCCAACAGCCAGCTGGTGCCAAATGCGCGTGTTTTCCTCTCGCTCGCTCTAGCCACGTGGATGGTTTGGACTTTGTTTCCAAGAAGTAATCACTGGAATAAAAAGCCCAGGCTAAAAATGATACTTGCTGGTTTTCATTGTAATTTCTTTTATGTTCTTTTCCTAATCTTTATTTGGCAACTATCATCCTAAAAGGTTTTCACGCTTATTTAACTTCTAAATGAAGCGTACCACTTAGTTTTGGGGCATGGGCCAAAATGCATTGTAGCACAAAACAAGTAGAGCAGATGAAGAACTGTGCATCTCATTTTCACCCCTTTGGAGAAAAAAAAAAACCAAACACAACCCAAAAAAACCCCAACAGTAGAAAACCATATATCATGGAAATGGAGAGATGAGAGCAATGTGAAGAAACCAGCTCCTCCATCCCTCTGGGCAAACACGCCGAAGCTGCCACTCCATTGGTGTTTGCATAATTGGGCCATAAATGTCTCCCAATGGCAAATTCCTGACTTTCCCCAGGCCACTTGATCCGGATCATCAGTTGTCCACCTCCAGGGTCAAGCCTTGCTCTGTCCCTTGTGACTTACTAGAACAGTTGGTAATAATTAGCCACGATTAACGAAGGACTAGAGTCAAAAGTACATGAGCCGAGGCACTGGGTCGCAGGGAGCCAATCCATCGGGTCAGGGCATACAAGGACAATCCTCACCTCGCACCCCATGGGGACAGGCTCCAGGTTGGGGGACCTTTGAGCAGGACCCCAGACTCTTGTCCCTGCCTCTGCTGGCCCTGAGTCGTGTCAATGATGCCGATACCCCTGGGGGCTGGCCACGGGCTTTACCGATAGAGGCAAAAAGCATCGAATTCTTCCATCAGTGCACCCCCGTTTCTCTGAGCTACCCTTTGCTACTAGGGTATGTTAACTCCCTATGCCTGCCCTTCCTTTCATAGGTTTAGCTCCAGCCGAGCTTTAGACCTGATTTCATCCCTGCCTGTCCAAGCAGCGGCCGTCTGTCCTGTCCTTCCTGCTTCTTCCCTGCTCTCTCCTTCCCCGAGACGCCCCGTGCCCAGCCAAGCCTGCCTGCCACGGCTCCCCAGCCCCTGCGCCACAGCAGGGCTTCTTCCCTCTAAGTTTTCTTTAAAATCAGCCTGGCCACCATCCCCTCATGGTGACCCAGGTCCAATGTCCGCTCTCCCAGTGGGATGAGGCCACCACTGCTAGCCTTTGGGTCGCAGACCTGCTCCCATGTTCACACCAGGACATTGCCACCGATGCAACCTGGGCGCTTCGTGGCTGCCAGCACAGTGCCATCCCTGCACAGCCAAAATTCCCAGAGGACATGGGGGGACTTGCAGTAATGCAGGGGTATGGAGCTGGAAGCAAACTCCTACGAAATTATTTTTGTGTTTATCTTCCTTTGAATGAGCAGGATCACTGGAAACACATCTGGACAGGCAGGAATGGGAGTGGAGGGTGGTTGGATCTGGGGGGATAAGAAGCACTGAGAAAATGCAGCCATGAATACACCGGCCTTGGGGGGTGCACGGCTGGGGCTCAGAGCAGGGATGGGGTTTGGCTCTGGCTTTCTGGGTCTGCATAACAACAGCAGGTATTTATTTGGGGAGGGGCCGGGGGTGGCTGACACCCCAGGGCAACACGTTGTGGGTGCTCGGGGTGCTTGGGCACAGGGCTGAGGGTTTGGATGGAGCAGGGCTCACCATGCTGCTGCTCCCCGAGTCTGGTGGCTTCCTAAAAATGCACACACACACACACACACCCCAAATCACTGTAGATCAACTGAAAACGCTTGTGCTCCTTGCTGAGTCCCTTCCCCCACTGTTACAAACATTTTGGTATGCATAACCTTTAGTTCGCAGGGCTGCTGTCTTTGTTTGGATGAGTTTTAACTAATGTCGAAATATTCTTTCAAAAAAGAAACTGAAGTGCTTCCCTTCTGAAAGTGTCGAAATGCTTTATTCAGATTTCCCTAAAAAACCCCCCAAACCCGTTTTTCCTTTCCCCCAGCCCAAACTATTTGTCCAACTCTGCACAAAGCCCCGAACGGTTTTGTTTGCTGCAAAACCACGTTGTAGGGGTGCGATCTGTTCAGCCAGAAAGCGGGCAGGGACCTGGAGGCAGCTCCCCACCAGCGACCCCCGCTTCTCCCCTTTTGCGCCAGATTTTCTCCCCGCTTCTCCCCTTTTGCACCGGATTTTCTCCCGTGGCGGCAGGTTTGGCTGTGAGCAGCTCGGTGCGGGTACGTGCCGCGGGGCTGCCATCCAGCACCCCAGGGCCAGAGCCCGGCTTTACTTCGGAGCCTGGAGTTTCTGATAAACTTATCGTATGCAGGAGATGCCTCCAGCCACGCTCGGCGGCGGCTGCACCGCGGAGTCACCGGGTGTTGGCGTGGGCTGTGTGTGCTGCTGGTGGTGGAGCAGGCGGTGGTGAAAGCGCACGTTTTAGCCAAACAAGAAAGTTACAGAAAGGGTTCAGAACCTCCGTGCTTTGTGTGAGCTGGAGGTGGGTGGCATGAAAAGGAGGCAAAAAAAAAAAAAGCGCATTTCCCTGCTGGTCTGGGTAAATGTTTAATCCCCAGCTCGGAGAAAAAGCAGCTCAAAAGTGCTTTTTTTCTCAGCAAGCCTGAACCAGTCAGCCTGGTGCCTCCTCCCTCCGGCTCACACCCTCCCTCCCACCGCTCCGGAGGAACATCCCAGCCTGCTCCAAGGTGCAGCTGGGCACCCAGGGCAGGAGGGAGCCAGGCCGGAGTGGTGTCGACACCCACGGGGCCGGGGGGTCTGCAGGGCCCCTTGCAGGCAGCGGCGGGACGGTGCTGTGCCTGGGCCAGGCAGCGCTGGCTCCCACGCTCCCTCTTGCCTGAGCTGCTCCAGCAGCTGAAGCGCCCGGGATGGGGTCCCCGCACTGGAAACGGCTCTGCCTTTTGCTCCTGGCAGGTTTGACATCCTCCCTGCTCTTCTATGGTCACTACTATGCTACGGTGGAGTCACCCACCAGCCGGAGGATCACAGCCAGGTAAGGGGGGACAGGGAGGGGGGGCAGGAGGCAGGGAGGTGCAAATCCAGCATGAGGTACCGTGCACTGGGATGGGGAGGGAGAATTGGGGTACTGGTGTGGGCCCCTTAGTGCAGGTTATCCCAGCTGTGCCCCCAGTTCTTGGCTGGTTGCCCCCAGTTGTTGGCTGGTTTGTGAAATGCGCTTGCAGCAGGCTCTGCTCCCCCCCGGAGGTGTTCTGGGCACCAGGACCCGCTCATGGGCACCAGCCAAGCCCAGGGGTGCCTGGAGTGGGACTCCGGGGCCATGGGGGGCTACAGGGGTCCCTGCGTGGGTTCAGCCCATCACAGTGCAAAGAAACCATTGCTGGGTCCAGAGATGGCTGAGGGTGCTCAGCTCCCGGCAGGATCAGCCCCACCTTCAGCAGCCGGCCAGACCCTCTGCGAGCCCCGCGTGTCCCCACTGGGTTGATTCAGGATCAGAGGCAGCTGATTGTGCTGGGGGGAGGTTTGGCCCCCCTGGAGCTGCAATGATCCCCCCTACTGCAGGGGCGGAACACGGCTGCCCACAGCCCACTCAGATCCCCGGGGCTGCTCCCCCTCCTTCCCCCCCTGCTTGCAAACTCCCAGGGGCTGCAGCATTTCCCAAACTCCAGCAACTTGCACGTCCCCCTTTGTGGTCACGTCCACCTTCCTCGCATCCTCCAACCTCCCCAAGCTCCCTCCTGGGTCCCCCCAGTGCCAGGCGGGCGAGGGTGCTGGAGTTCCCCGGGGAGCCCTGGGGAGCGCAGCTGAGCGGGCAGGGGTGAGAGGGAGCCTGCACAGCGCTTGGCCCGCAGGACCAGCCACCCTCCTCTCCAGGAGGTGTCTCTCACCTCCACTCTGGGTGCTCTTGGGAGCCGTCGGTGCGACAGAGCCCAGCTGCCTGGGTGCTGCCCAGGAATGGAGGATGCTGTGGGGACCGGGGCTGGTCCTGCATGGGGTGAACTGAGTGCAGCCAGATTTGTGCTGGGAGTTGCTGGGGGTGCAGCTGGCTGGGCTGCCCTGGCATCCAGACACCCTCTCTTCCCCAGCAGGGAGCCGGGGGCTCTCCTTGCCCCCTCCTGTCCTGCACAGGGCAGAGACCCCCTCTCCTGCCAGGCTTGCAGAGCAGCAGTATCCCCGGCAGCCCGGGCAGAGGTTGGCTGTTTCCACCCTTGGCCGTGCTGGGTGAGCAGCGGTGCTGGCGGCAGCAGCGTTGACCCGTACCACACGGTGCTCGGGGCAGGTCACAGCTGGGGTGCGGAGCAGCTCCCCACAGAGAGTTTGATGTCCACGAGAGGGGAAACTGAGGCACGTGAGGGCAGCAGGACATGCCCAAGGACCACGCTGGAGCTGGGAGTGGAAACCAGCCATGCCCTCACACAGGGTCTGTGGACAATCCTGGGAGCAGGGTGCGGAGGAGACCCGTGGGATGGGAGCTGGGAGCAGGTTCCCCCCACCACAGGGCAGGCTGCAGGTAACTCAGCCACTGCCTGGACCTGCCCCAGCCCCAGGTCCCCCTGCTGCAGAGCCAGCCCGGGCTCCTGCCCCATGAGCGATGGGACCGAGTGTCCCATCCAGCCCCAGGGAGGAGCCCAGGGCAAGGTAACCGGGAGCTGACCTGCGCTCCAAAGCTCTCCTGGACTTTTTCTCTTTGCTTTAATCCAAGTGCTAAAGCTAGACCCAAACCAGACCAAGTCCTGGTTGCTTTGGTTGCCTGTGTTTACAAACGTGCTGCCCTGTGATTGCTGCTTGTCCAGCCTGAACTGCACACTTGGAGGAATCGGCGCTGCCCTGCCGACGGATGCAGGGCTGAGTCCGGAGGTGAAGCCGGGATGGCCGGTGTTTCGCTGACGCTCCATCACAGAGTGCCCACTTCCTGCTCTGCCTGTCATTGGGGCAAAAAGGGAGGGAGGGTCAGGGGTGCTCATGCATCGGTGCAGATGGCCACGTTTTGGCAGAGAGGTTTGTGTGAGCAGCATCTCCATGCAGGAGACACAGGGGAGACAAAGGGGGTTGGGAGGAAGGTGACCCCCTAATTGATGCTGGCTGCTGCCAGCACCAGATCACCTGGCCAGATACCCACAGCAATGCTGAGCCCCCTCCAGTCCAGCACCCAGCTGGTGGCAGCGGTGAGGTCCCTACAGGGATGGGAAAAATGTCCCCATCCCCACAGAGCCGGCCACCCTGCGGTCAGTGGAGCTGCAGGGAGCCGAATCCCTGGAGCCCCCGGGGCTGGGCTGGGCACAGCCCTGTCCCGCTCCCTGCCCAGCCATCCCTCTGAAACCCCACCGGGGAGCTGCCACCACCACTGGGGGCTTTATTACGAGGGCAGACGTGATGAGCACGGAGCTCTGCCCAGCCTTGCCGTGCCATCTGTCTCTGCGCCGGGGAAGATGCTTTTTGGAGCCTGGCCCTTCATGGTGGGATGGAGCAAATGCCTTCCGAGAGCATGTCCGTCTTGCTGCTTCGGCTCCCTCAAATGGGTCTGCGGGAGCCCTGGGAGTGTTTGCTGAAGATAATGCCGGAGTGTGTGCTCACAACACTTGCACACAGTGTTATCTTCCGGAAATTGGGGGTGGCCGCGGACCAGAAAGGTCGTATTTGTGAATGCCACGGCAGTGAGAGAGCGTATCCAGGCTTGGCTGCCCCCGCTGCCGTGGCCGGTGCCTGGGCAGCCACGAGCCACTCCTTCCCTGGAGCCCCATTGTGCATCTGCTGGTCCCAGGGAGGGTTGTCATCTTCTGAGTCAACCAAGCATCACGAGGTGCTTTGCCACATCCTGGCAGGTGACGTCAAAGCGTTTGGCTCCCTGACGTGCTGCTGAGATGCTGTCTGGCAGGGGGGCCTGGCCGCCCCATGCCCTCCCCAGCAGGGTTTGCACAGCGGCCACAGCCAGGACAGCAGCCACCATGCTGGGGAGATGGCTCCAGCACCCACTGGGATGCGAGTGCAGGGAGGTGCTGACACATGGACTGGATTTATGAGCTCAACACAAGTTCTGGCAGAAGTGATGAGCAATTACCATGCACTGTGCCTGGCCATGGGTGTCCCAGGTCCCGTCGGCAGGAGCCAACCTGCCGGGCTGCCAGCGCCCACCTCCCTCCAGCCAGCCTGAGCCCCCGTACTGCCCCGGCTGCTCCCGCAGCATCTGTGGCAGTTTGGAAAATAGCACAGCACCCTCTCGCTGCCAATGCCCGGGGCTTTGCCTCGTCCTGCAGGCACTGGGATGAGCCAGGGAAGGGGAAAAGAAAGACCCTGTACCAAGACATAAGAGTGGGAGAGCTTGGAGGGCTGGGGAGGGGCTGGGTGAGTGGAGATGTGCAGCTGGGGCTCGTGAGCCTGATGGGGAAGGGCTGGGGGTGCAGCAGGGCCAGGAGAGGCTGTTTGTGCAGCTCCTGGGCAGCATGAGGCTGGGCATGGTGTGTGAGGGTAATGGCTTTGGGGGTTTGGTGGTGGGTTGCACCTCTGCAGCCAGAAAAAGGGTGGGTGGCCAAACTGTGGGATTTGGGTGCAGGGGGGTGTGCTACTTGGTGCTTTGCAGGAGTGGGTTCTGGCTTTGAGATCAGAGCAGGGAGGCTTCTTCAGCCCCTGGTCCATCATTCAGGTGCTGGTAACGTCAATAAGCTCCTGCTCATGAGGCATGTGGGCTGGGGATCCCCTGCCTCGTGGGATGGAGGAAGCAGGCAGGGCTGGGGCGGCTTGCTGAGGGCAAGCTCCCTGGAGCTCCCACGGGGGTTCCTTGCAGCTGAGCTGGCTCAGCGCACGGAGCTCTCCTTGTCGCTGCTGCTTGCGTGGGCGAGCGCTGCTCTGACTGGTGTGTGCCGCCCGTACCTGGCGGAGGTGGGCTGGAAGAGCAGCCACCAGCATCACCGCAAGGTCTCGTGCAGCTTTTGGATGACCTTTCCCAGCCAGCACCTCGCTGTGCACAGACGCTGCCAGGGCAGCTCTGCTCCCGTCTTCAAGTCAATGGAACAGGCAAGTTTGGTCAGGTTGAGTTTATTTAGATGGTTGCAGCGATAACACCAGAAAGGCCCTGCAGAAAGCTCCAGCTTCTGCATCTCCCTGGGACAGCTCAGTCCCACCTTGGTGGACTCTCCCGGGGATTTGCCCTCCCGACTCTCCACCAGCTTGGGTGCTCCTGGGATGAGCCCCAGGGATGCGCTGGTGGCTGCAAGGGGAGGTGGGGGCAGAGCCGTGCCCAACCCCTCTCCCGGCTCTGGGGGTGTCAGCATGCCTGTACTGTACGCGGCAGGACAGCTCTTTGCACGTTTTTGGAGGGCAGGATGTGGCCGTGGGACAGGGCTAAGCTGGGGACCTTGTCCCCAGGCTGGAGTGTGGGCGTTTTGAATGGTGGGGGCTCTGTGGGGCAGCAGCTCTTGCTGGGGAGCTGCTTTTTTTATGGGACACCGAGGAAAGACGCTCTGGCTTGATGTAAAAAGCTGCCCTGCTCCACTTCACCCTTGGCATCCCCTGCCCAGACCTGGCAGTGCTGGGATGGAGTGAGGAGGGAGCTGGGACTAAAGCCTGCGTGCGTGGTGCTGACTCCCCATCCACGCCTGGGGAGATACTCCAGCCCCCCGGGTGCCAGCACCCAGGCAAGGTGCTGGGCTGTCCCCCCATGTCATGCCGTACCCCTGGGGTGGCACAAAGCAGGGTTTGGATGGCAAACGGGTATGGATACACCCCTGGGCAGGGCTGTTGGTGCTGCTGGTGTTGACAGGGGCTGTGGCGGGGACAGAAACCCAATGCCTGC